ATAATGATGGCAATAATAATAAAGACTGTGCCCGCACTCAGCCCCATTTTTCCTCCAACATACATTTTATTTTTCATAAAATAATTACACAAGTACTACACTGAATAACTACAGCACAGAGAGAAAAAAGAGGACCCCCCACCCCACCCCCGGTCACTAGATGTCTTCCAGACTTCAGGTCACCCAGACCGTGATGTTTCCGCTGAGGGTGTTCACCCAAGTTCATTGCGCTGGCCTTCTACGCCACTGTACATTATGTCTTCATTGCTGAATCGGTTGTTTTTTGTTGTGATCTTGCTCAGGTCCAATTTGTCGGATTGCTTCGACTCCAGGTCTCCTTACCGGCACCTACTCCTGTTGGAGTTTCTTTCCCTAGCCAGGGTACAGATCATTGCCTTATGGCTCGGGTGTCAGTTTGCATGTTTCCCACCTACCTGGACCTTAGCTTGCTAGTCTCCATACGTGTGTATTCACAGACACCACGAAGAAAAATGGTAGGTTACATACCTGTGACCATCTTTCTTCGAGTGGTGCTCTGTGAATTCACACAAACCCGCCCGTTCCTCCCCTCTTATGCAAACCTCCCCCCTTCTCGCTGCTTCTGCGGCGAACGAACTGGGGAGCGTACGGCCAGGGGGCCCTTTATGTCCTTGGGAGGAGTGGGCGGGCATACCGCCAAAAATTCAAAAGTATAACTTGAGAAGTTTCCGATCGGTCCTGCGCAGGCGCAGTAACTCCATACGTGTGAATTCACAGAGCACCACTCGAAGAAAGATGGTCACAGGTATGTAACCTACCATTCTTCTGGGATACATGATGCTTCCTTGCTCACTCTCTGGGGATGGAAGTTGGAGAAGCCATGCCATCTGTGTTAGTATGACTGCATACAAAGAGTATGTGAGTTCTGTTACTCTGAAAGACTGTTGGTACAATGCCACAAGCGTATTTTGCTGTTTTGAACTCTGCTGAACAAGAGTAAATTTACGTTTCCGTTTTGTGTGTTGCTACTGTGTTTTTGATAGGCAAGTTTCTATATTTAACCACAAAAGGGATGCCTAAACGGAGAAGGCGCTTTCCTCAGTTAGCATTCATTTCATTTTGGTAAGGAGAGAATTTAGCAAATCTATGTGCATTATGCAGAATCAATAGTTCTGTTACCTTAAGTGAGTTTATCTATGCTGAGCATCACAAAAATTACTCCGTTTTATGAAAGCAATTCAAGGTGCTGAACTTTATTCAGAAAATAGGTTCGGCACCTTGGGTGCTACTTGTAAAATCAGTCACTACTATAATAGAAAGTGAGAAATCATTTCTCTGTGAAGACTTGAAACTACCAGATGTTCCTAAGATTAACCTAAATCCAATTGCTACTAGTACCTAAAACCATCGGGACTTACTTAAGTGTTGCTCTACCATTCAGCATTTGATATAGTGAATCTACTGTAGCTAGAATTAGCAATTAGATTTTGGCTAGAGTAGAAAGAATATGTTGTAGGACTTTAACTCCCAACAACCCAGCACTGACGAATATTGAAAGATGCAGTTCAACAGCATTTTGAAAACCTTATGATTCTTACATCTGATTAGTACTGGGCATTACATCTGACACAATTTTGAAAGCATCAAAAGTGAACAATAATGAAAATAATTTAAAATAAGCATATTGTTATACTGTTCCTGTATAGAATAATAAAATTGGAATTATTTAAATGCAGAATACTAACATCTAGAACTCAACAGGAAGAAAAGTCTCTAACAGTATGTCAAAACAATTTCTTTAAAGCATGAGATTCAACATGGGAGATTAATCATGAAATCTTAAGCATATTTATTTAGGCGTTAAATTCCACTATGTTCAATAGAACACATTTTTCCATACAAGTGAGCACAGTAACGTAGCATGGGCTAAGGAGTCCACATGGAAGAATTAACAATCGAACCACTCTATATTATGCAACCACCTTATTTTATAAAGGCTGATGAAATTTAAAATCTATCTGCATACCTGTAGTAAAAAAAAATGTATTTATTAATTTACTAGGGCAAATCATACAAGGCCTTTCCCCTTGCTTCACAATTCTGTTTCCAGTGTATCCATTTATTTTCTTCCACATATGGCACAATCCAAAGAAACATCTATTCACTATTTTTATGATCTATGCTCCAATAAATACTTAAATACATTCTTCACTTGTGCCTTTCATAGTTACCAGACCTTTTCTTCAGTAGATTTACATAACAAGCTTGATTTGCCAGGCTTCATTAAATAAGAATCTTTAAAAAGTTTGTTCTGATCATTAGTCTCTTGCATTAAAGTGCATGTTAAGGACAACTGGCTTATATGGAAAGAATGTTTAGTTCTCCTCCAGTGTATATAGAAAGAACATTGGGAAGAGATTGCATCCTAGTCCTGATTTCTCTCTTTCTTGTACAAAATACAACTAAACAGTACATGGGTAATATTCTCTACCTCTGTTGCCCCACAGATACAGAATTGTTTGTTATATGGAACTTAGTTAAATCTTCCATGTTTAACGAGTATAATGCATGGAGTAAAATGGGCATCAAAGAACAGCAGGAAGGGAAGGAAGAAAACTTAACTGTTAAGGGCAGCAATTGCTGCCCAGTTCTGAAGGTAATCAGATGGTTTGCCTCTAAGGTGAAACAACATAGGAAAGGTCATCATTGTTCATGGAATAGTGAATGAGCATTGCTTAGACTCCACAAAAAGAAGTCAAGTGTCCAAGGGTGTTATGAATGTGAAGTGCCTTTTTTGCAATTAGGTCTGAATGTTTCCATTCTTTCTTTTGTTCATTTTTGCCTGTCAGAAATCCATCCTGAAAAATCAAAATAAATACTGCATGGCACTGGTGGAAAAGGGGGAAAGATGCATAAACATGAAGACCTGCAGATTCATGAAGGACCACCATGGAAGCAAAGATCAAATTGGAGAGTTGAGTAATTGTTAATGAGACTTATGTTGACAGGGGAATTGCTAAACTTGCAACGAAGAAGATGCTATTAAGCTCATGTGAAAATGTTTATGTGAATAGTAGTCACCATCTTGCTTCAAGAAACATATCCCTTGTGTATTTTAAGTCTTCATGAAATAGAACTGAACAGATCATAGTCGCACACAGGAAAAACTAAAATGGTTGGTGTGTGATGTGTCATACACACGAACCTCTGCAGATTGCTGTTCCAAGGGTAAGAAGAAATTTACGGGAGGGAGAAGTTCACACCAAACAAATTATTCTCAAATGTGAATTTGTGATATTGAATTGCAAACATCTTAAGACTATCACACAGAACACATCCTTACACAGGCCTTATAGGATGTGTATGCTCAGTTCCAAATGAATATAATTTGGAATTAATATAAAAGTCATATGTTCTATCACCAACAATGGGTCAAATTTTGTCAAAAGATTTCAAAATTTGCTGTGGACTTTGGTGAAAAGAACAATGAATAGGATGTTAAAATAACACTGCACCAAGGACCAAAAAAGAGAAGGAAGCAGAAGAAATCAAAATTCCCTTTTGTCTACTGTTACAATGGTGATGTGCTAGCAAACACCTCAACCTGGTGGCTATGCAAGACATCCAAACCTTGGTTTCCAATTCCTTGATTGGAAAGAAAAGCAATCTATGGAACAAAACAAGCCAAACCATGAAGTGTAATCTACACAGAACGTCAACAGCAACTGTAATGCATGTTTAAAAATGCCAAGCAAGATCAGGTTGCATTCTCTGTATGGGCTTACTCATATGCTTTCAATGGACAAGACACTGAGAAATGGAGTTTTCAAAATTTATTCAGATGTCCCTTTTCTCTCAACTCAAAACAGAGCCAACGTAAGAAACTAAATCAAAAATGAGGTTTTTCACCTATATTCTGGTAAGGTTTCAGTACAGCAGTGTATCATAAACACAAAGGCTAGGTTAGAACAAAGAAAATTAAAATTGTATTGTCGAAGGCTTTCATGGCTGGAATCACTGGGTTGTTGCAGGTTTTTTCAGACTATATGGCCATGGTCTAGAGGCATTTTCTCCTGACGTTTCGCCTGCATCTATGGCAAGCATCCTCAGAGGTAGTGAGGTCTGTTGGAACTAGGAAAGTGGGTTTATATATCTGTAGAATGACCAGGGTGAGACAAAGGACTATTGTCTGCTGGAGCTAGGTGTGAAAGTTTCAACTGACCACCTTGATTAGCATATAATGATCTGACAGAGTCTGGGGCAAACTTTTGTTGAGAGGTGATTAGATGTCCTTGTTTGTGTCCTCTCTGTTAAATTAAAATTAGTACCTCCCATTTCAACATAACGGTAAAACTAATACAGTGGCACTTTTATAATAATTTTTTAAAATTTCTGCATATACAGAAATAAAGACTGTCAATCTAATCATATGGGCCACTGGAATCACCACATATCGTGGCAAATCTGGCAGCGCCCATCAAGGGTGTGGGGAACCCGTCATCCCACATGTTGCATTGCCTGACTTACCAACTGCCCCATCCAATGGAGGGAAGCATCAACCGTTCGGCTTCCACCTATTGATCCAATACAACATGGGAAGTTTCCAGTGTTGCCACGATGGCAGCTTGTTCCAACTGCAATGGAGACCCACCAGAAATAGCTCTACATGATGGGATGGGAGCGGTGGGTTCCATCGCAAAAGTAAAGATGAACTGGCATATGCCACTGAAAAGTACCCCACCTGATGAGGTTGTTAGACTATGTGGTTCTGAAGGAAAGATGTACACATATGTGCATACACACATTGTACAGAAGCAAAGAAATTTAGTTACTCAGTTCTCAAGCTTGTGTATTGAGTAGAATGGTTTAATGAAGCCTTGCCACTTGTTTTTGGAAACATCTTCATGATCACCCTGCCCTATATACTATTCATACCCCATTCATACCACATAAAATCAGCTCAATCTATGTATGTTTCAAATCTGCACTCACATAATGTAGAAGTCCCCTGGCAAGCGTACCTTGAAGGAGATTTCAGTTGTCATAGTGAATCCATGTGTAATGACCGGTTCTTCTTCAGCTGTTCGGCCTTTCCAGCAATCCAGCTCAACACAGCGGCAGCCGGACAAAAGTACTTGGCGATACATCTCGACAGATGAGTTACCAGCCAGCTGTCCAGCTGCAACAACATAACAAAAAGCGTGAAACAAGAAGATCCATTACAGTTTATGGACTAAATGGACTAAATGCAAATAATGCAAGAATAATGAAAGCATATATCATCTGTTTTCCCCAAAGGGAAGCAACAAGATAACATATTGTTGTAAGATACATAAAACAAAAGGAGAATCATGCCCTAGTTAGTACTATACAGTTCTAGATTCACTACTGTGAGTAATCCCTGATCTGAGTCTAGAAAACGTCAAAGATATATGGGAGCAGGAGAAGAAAACCACACAACAAAGAATAATAAATACAAAAATATTTAATTCACATGGTCCTTGGTGTTTGATATTTCTGTTATTATTAAAGTAGTAAAGGAGTTACCCAGACGGCTATAGTATTTTGTGTGACAGTTTATTTTATTTTATTTTTTAAAAAAACAAGCCAAGAGAACTGTGCACATATGGAAGACTGACTATAATATCTCATATTGTGATTGTCTTAAAAAGACTAGCTCCTGGAAAACATGCTACATCTCATCCCATTTAAAAAGCATAAAAGACAGCTGGGAAAGAAAAAGTCAGACAAAAACTATATATACAGGGTGAGGCAGCATAACTTCCTTTTTTAAAATGTGTGCCATTCATTCAGTTGAAGATTGCTGCAATATCAAAAAAACTAAACACGAGAGCCCTCAATGGAACCAATGGATACTTAGTAAGCTAACAGTTCCTATGCAATTTCTGTTGGGTCATCGGATTTATTGTAGTTGAGATAGAGATAGGATTCATATCTCTGTGTGAGGTTTAATCATTATCATAATCTAAAACTCAAAGAAATGTGTGAAGTGATGCCTAGATATAAAACAGGTTGGGGAACTTTTGGCTCTTCAGTTCTTTTGGATTTCAGGTTTTATCAACCTACTAGGGCAGTGGCTCTCAAAGTGTGTTTCACGGAGCCCTTGGGGCTCCGGAAAGCATACTCAGGGGCTACGCAGTTCCTTCCTCCCACTCCAAATTTTCGCTCCTCTTTCTTACTCCTCCCTCTTCCTCACCTACCTCACCATTAAAAGCTTTTTCAATCTATCTCCCTCACTGAAAAAACCTTTTTTCCTCAGCCCTCTTGCTGCCAAAAACATTTTCCCCTCAGCCTCCCTTTCCCCGAAAATCCTTTCCTCACTTCCTTCGTTGCCTAGATCCCTTCCCCTCACCTACCTTGCTTTCAAAACCCTATTTCTCTCCCACTGCTCAGGAGGTGCTTTGATATTGCAGATATTTTATAACTCAGAATTTTTTTACCTTCACAGGCATTCATAAATCGCTGCATGTAATAGTTCTGATAAGAAATAAGCAGGGTTATATTTGGCATTTAACTGATTGAACCCTCTTTAAAAGGATTCCCATAAAAGGCGAGAACGCCAACAGTTTCTCTCAATATTCAATCCTCTGCCCTCTCAACTGAGTGCACTATTTCTGCATGCCAAAGAGACAGCAAGTGGGTGTTGAATTTGATCAGTAATTCCTTCTCAAGAAATATAGCTGAAGAGATGTTCAGTCAAGTGCTCCTAACTGTCTATGACACAGACTGAAATCAGTACAGGTAGTGTAGCTTAAAGATCTGTGAAATACGGAGTATAGATACTTAGGCGACCCCTTGTTGTCTGAGTAGGATTGTCTTCCAAGGTTGGTGTACTGGCGGTGGGTCCGTAGGTGACTGTGGAGCCCTATTCTTGACTTGCATGTTCTCCCACAGTGAGAGCATTGGTTTCCAGGTGGAAGGCGGACCCAGTCAGAGTTGGCTTGATGTGCCTTCCTCTTGGCACATTTCTATCTTTTGCCCTCCATTCATGCCTCTTCAAATTCTACAGCACTACTAGTCACAGCTGATCTCCAGCTGGAGTGCTCAAGGGCCAGGGCTTCTAAGTTCTTGGTGTCTATCCCAGAGTTTTAAAGGTTGGCTTTGAGCCCATCATTAAATCTCTTTTCCTGCTCACAAACATTCTTGAGTTCAGAGTAGAGCAACTGCTTTGGGAGATGGTGGTCGGGCATCCACACAACGTGGCTGGTCCAGCGGAGTTGATGGCAGAGGACCATCGCTTCAGTGCTGGTGGTCTTTGCTTCTTCGAGCATGCTGACATTTCTCCGATTGTCTTCCCTTGGTATTCCTATGGATGGCCTGGTTCTCAAACACTCTGTGCTTCATTCGGAAAAATGCTGCACTCGCAGAGCTCAGGTCGATGTTATATTTCAGTGTCAATGTTGACTTTTGTGGAGAGGTAGCTGCCAAGGTAGTGGAAATGGTCAACGTTTTCTAACGTTACACCATTAAGATGTATTTCTGGAATTGGAGAGTGATTGCCTGGTGACTGCTGGAACAGCACTTTGGTTTTTTCGATGTTCAATGACAGGCCGCGCTTCTCATATGGTGTTTTGAGTGGCTAGTAGGAGCATAGGTAGAAAGCCATGCAAAGAAGGAATGTCAACAATGGCTAAAAATAGTCCAAAGTGTAAAAGTAAAGTCCTTCTTTGGAGAATACTTCTTGCATATAGTTCATCTATTAAATAGCTCTTCACTATTTCTTGCTATCTATCTTAAACAAAATTTTAGGTGACTTACACAACTCAGTACAATAAGATATCAATTTTGAAAAGTACTGTACAGTTAAGTGGAGCCTTGAGCTATATTGTAAGCCATCCGATCTATTTTGAAGTTTTAAATATAAACCAGCCAACCACACTGTGTACTAACTCTGACTTTTGTGCAGGGGAACAGGTATGATGGGAGATATAGCCCAATTGTGTATGAGGAAAAAGTCTGGGCTTGTACAAAAGAGAAGTTGGAGACCTGTAGAACTCCTGATATTGCAAGATTTAAACTCCCATCAGGCCTAGACATCCAATGTCATGGATGATGGGAGTTATAATTCAGTGATATCTCAAGAGTCACAACTGTTACAGTAAGTCGCAACAGGATCAAGTATGTATGTATGTGTTAAAGAAAACCTTATACTGTTGATTATTATGTGCAGCTGCTAATGGAGGTCAACTAGTAAGTTTGGACCACACCTGGTAGGGTATAACTCTATGGATTTTAGAATACAGTTCAGCTTTTCCTCTGAGGAGCCTTTGCTTAGGCATTTTGCTCAACCATTTCTGCTCCTTTCTCATTTGGAGAAAGTTGAAGAAGCCTTATTCTGTATTACTTACAAGGACGGTGTAAGTTTGTTGCACTGTTTGTTTTGTTTGCAACACTGCAAGTTTATGTTTTAACTCTGCTGATAAGAGTAAAGTTTTTCTGTTCATTTTTCTCTTGCCTATGAGCAATGTTATTGTGTCTTCTGCATTGGGCCTGACTGAAATCCACTTGAGCACAACAACTATATAGGGTCTGTTCTGCATGGTAGGACGTGATGCCATACTTCATACAATGTGTATGGGAATTCACATAGTAGAATATCTATCCCTACAAAAACATTTCCTGCATATAGGAAATTATAGTGTTAAGGAGGGAAGTGAAAGAACATTCTAGCATGTAGACTGGCACATGAAATCCAAACATATATCTCTGACATAGGTTCAACAAATACTATGTATATACCCATCCATGTATAGGGAGTATTTTCAAGGGCTGACGTACAGAAAAACTATTACTCTGTTCCTGAAAGCAATCATGCCCCAAGTGGGGTTGATTTGTATTACACTGTTTCAGGTTTTGGAGGTACACACTTCGTAGCCCATGGTTATGGACACTTAGATCATTGTTAGTGCCAATGATGTTTTTATCCAGTTTTGGAGAAATGGCAGCAAGTCAGCTTGAGATGGCTTTGTGCTCCCTCCATTCAGCTCATTTTTATTCCAGCCAGGGTGATGACATTCAAACCTGCTACTTTGCACATTCACCTCATGAAGTAATTCTGACAGGGACTGCCTACCTCAATAAACCCCAGAGCAATACTTATTGGTGCCTACTAGGCTTGGGCGGTTTCGTTCATTAATTTCGTAATTCGTTATTAATTCGTATTTAAATCAGCTTACGATCCGATATTGAGCCATGCAGGAGTAATTAAAAATCGAAACAATTTTTTCAATTTATTTCGTAATTGTTTCGTGATTGTTTCGTAATTGTTTCGATATGGTTTCGAAATTGTTTTGTAATTATTTCCGTATGTCTGGTGCAAGTTTTAGGGTTGTTGTTTGTTTTATCAGTGATAAAAAATAAATTATCACACCAACAGTCAACAACAGAGGGAGAGGGAAGCTTCAGAAGTTCCCCCTGTTCCATTTGGAGGGTTTTTTAGCATATTGCGCAATTGCGTCCGCCATTAACGAATCGATTCGTAATTGTTTCGTAATTGTTTCATAATTTTACGAAATTTCATATATTTTGAACTTTTTTAAAGAAAAATTTCAGAATTCTTTTAAAAAACAAAACGCAAAACCCCCCTAAAAACGAAACGAGTTTAGAACCAATTTTTTCCGTAGTTATCCAAGCCTAGTGCCTACTACTGTTTGTAAAAAAGGGATCAACAACTACACTTCCACTGGCCCAGTTTATGTAATGCAGCACTGAAGCACTGAAAAAGAGGTGCTTCAATCTCAATCTAGTTTCTGGGAAAGCCAAAATATTACCATTGCCAAAATATTGTGTAACTGAACCCCTCAAATTACGATATAAAGGTAATTTCAGGCTATCTGAAGCCTAAAGATTTCAAAGTGGGGTTGGACCTCATCACATTGAGGTCCCATTTGTAGGTGATAGTGGGGATTCTCCATGCAGCATGGTGAATCCGGTGAGCAGTGTGGGAACCAGTTGCCCTGCACACTGCATTGCCTGCACTGCCCTCTTACCCATCCCACATAGGGGAAGCATGACTGCCCAGCTTGCCCCCATGCTCACCCTGTTCTTTCTTAGAGAACATGGAAGCCTTCTGTGTTTTCTGGGAAGTGTTCTAGCACATTACCAGGTCACTGGAAGGATGGAGTCCCACTGGAAGTTTGATGGCATCAGGTAGGCTCC